ACCTAGCCTTGGCTTTCAGCCAGCTAGGTAAGGCAGCAGTACAAGTAGCAACAGAGAAAAGAGAGAGATTCTTAGTGGAGCGTGTGTCTGAATTCAAGTATTTATGTCTTGTGTTCGTGTGTTTGAAAGAAGAGAAGTACAAAGTATTTATAGCTTTTGAAAATGAATGAAAGAGAAGTAATAAGCCACAAACATGGAAACAATCACTTTCAGAATCAATTACACACATGATTGCCTTTAATTAAGGGATCACTTGCTTAACAGGCAGTGACAGATTCAAAATAAGGAAAGAAATCAATTTATAGGCAGACTAATTATTGCCATAAAAGAAGTAGTAAAACAATTGAGTAAGTGATTAAGTCTAAGTACAAGAATATACTTGTTTTGGAAAGGATTCAGTAAGTGAAAACAAGGAAAGAAATCAATTAACCTTAACAGGCAAGTGAAATCAGATTTTCACAAAAGAAAAGTTTGAAATCAGTTACACAATTGAAGATCAATCAAAGAAAGAAACTCAGCATATAAATAGAGTGCACAAACACTGGACATGCGAGGCCAAACTATTGGCAAAAGGAAACAGTACGAATAATAGTAGATATCAAACATTCGAAACATGATAGTCGCGTAGGTCAAGCTTCAGTGACTTAGTGGTAGAGAAAAAGATAGAATATCAGAAGCATGTAAAGGGTCAAGTGAAAAACCCTTCTAAAGACATAGTCGATTTTCAAAGATAGTAAGAACCCAGAATCACATAAAGAAAAGAGATGCTGAAACAAAGGAATTTCAAATTAAGTCGAGCAACTTCAAACAGATGTATTGCACAAGTAATTTCAGAAACTCGAATAGACCCCAAAGAAATTAGGGTTTTGAAACCAATCGAGTTTAAAGATGATGAGCAAACAGATTACACAAATACTTAGAGACTCACATGAACCCAAAAGAAATTAGGATTTTTCAACACCAATCGAGTCTAGAGATGATAAACAAATAAATCAAACAAACAAATATCTCAGGAACTCGAATAGACCCAAAAATTAGGGTTTTCAACACCAATCGAGTCTAGAGATGATAAATAAGTAAATCAAACAAAACTAACAAATAGACCCAGAAACCTCAGAAGAAATTAGGGGTTTTATCATGCAAACTCAGAGAGGAGAACAATACAAGCAAACATAGTAAAACATGTCAAAATCAGAGAAAGTTTTGAAATAACTTAACAAGAAAACCATTATCGAAAAAGATAAAGACTTTTGGAAGCAGAGTTTTAAAAGAAACTTTGAGAAAAATGCTTAGAAGTTCAGAGCAAATATAGATCTGAAGCAGATCTAAAAGAAATCGAAAGAACCTTAGAAATTAGGGTTTCAGAAGAACCCCAAGTGACGAGGAAGGCCTCAAAAGCCATTGATCTAAGAAGGAGAGTCAAAGGTCCGACTTGAATGGCCATGACTGGTCAGAGAAAGATCAGAGACGACCGGAGAACAGTCATCGAGCAAAGTCTGGACCAAGCCCCATTCATGATCCGGTCATGAGACCATAGAAACAAACACGTAGAAGCCATGGGAGGCTGATACAAGTCTCTGATGACCTTGGAAGGCCATGGGTTAGGGCGGATTAGGGTGGCGGCAGCTAGGGTTTGAGGGTGTTGTAGAGAGGATTTGAAAGAGGAGGGGGATTCAGAGGCGGCGTGTTGTGAGGAATGATAGGGTTTAGGGGGTCGTTTGGATTAATTAAGGTAAGGGGGTCTGGTGGCTGTTGATCATTTTGATCAACGACCTGGATTGAACGGGTAAGTGGGGCAGTTTAATAGAATAGGGTTTGGGTCGGTTCATATTGCAATTGGGTCGGAGTAATTGGGCTTCAAATTGGGTTTATTTGGGGTTCAAATCAGGCTATATTTGAAATAAAATGGAGCTAACATTTAAATAGCCAATATTTTCTCTTTTATTTATAAAAATTATAAAATAATTTCTGTAAATAAATTAAATGTACTAAAATGATTTATAGTATATAGCTATCAAATTAAAAATATAGTACTTAATTTTTATAGATATAAACACAATTAAATCTAAAAGAGACTAAAATTGCAATTATATGCAATTTAGCTTTAAAAATACTAAATCAATTTATAAAAATATGCAAATAATATCTTAGCTATATTTTAGTATAAATTTGAGAATCTAATAAATGAATCGCCAAAATGATAAATTTGGGAACTATTATTGGTATTTATGAATAAAATAGGGAAATATATTGGTTTAAAAATCTTTAAAAAATTAAGAAAAAATGATAAAATATTTTGAACATACTTATACATACATATATATGCTATTTTAAAAGTATTTTGCATATTAAAAATTTATAGGAAAAAATTGGGTATCAACACATTGTAAGGCCCTCATACATCAATGTGCAACAAGTTGAAAACTTCACAAGCTCTACTAGTATTGTCTGGGAAAGGCAATCTAGTGTGTCTAGCCAACGGGCACACAACACATTTTTTCAACTGACTTATACAATTATTTTGAGAAAAATAAAAATTTTGACTCAATGACTTCAAAGAGGAATGACCTAATCTATTATGCAAAAGCTTAACATCTTGTTTTTCCTTGCTTGCAACCAAGCTAACCAACTGATTTGAACTATCTATAGTAGGCGCTTGTGTAAGCAGATACAGTCCTCCTCTTTCCTTACCAATCCCCCTGACCTTCCCACTGCAAAGGTCCTGGAACACACAGAATTCAGGAAAAAACAAAGCTGAGCGTCTTAATTCTCTTGTGAGCTTTGACTGTGATAGTAGATTATACTTAAAATCAGGGATGTACAGTACCTTTCTCCTACTTCCTTATCTATCAATCTACATGTCCCTGAATGAATCACATGCGTGAAGGATCCATTAGGTGGATTAACTCTTTTTTCTTTTGAATTTCCTACTTTAACTGTGCTTTCCAACAGACTCAAGTCAAAGGTTATATGATTTGTCGCTCCAGTGTCTACAATTCACTCTTTGTTTTCTTATTCTACTATGAAAACAGTAATAGCATCATTACCTGCCATGTTGACTGAATTGAATGAGTTTTCTACTACATTTCCATGTCAAGCAGCTTAAGAATTTGATCATATTGCTCTGGTGTAAAGTAGGGCCTCTAGCATCATTACTTGCTCTAATGCCTTCAGAGTTCATACTCTTTTCTGATGTATTAGCATAATAGCAGCCCTGTACATCTTGATTCCTATTATCATTCATAACAACATTGTTAGTCGTAGTTCCTCCATACCTTTTCTTAGGTTTAAAGTCAGCAGGATATCCAATTATTTTTTAGAATTCGGCACGAGTATATCCTTTCATCTTGCAAAAGTCAAATTGAACAGTGTAGTTCCTCTTGCCTTATTGCATATTCCTTCCCTTAATGATCATCAATGCATTCATTTCTACATTATCTACTACTGCCATGGTGTTTGCCATGCTCTGCTGGCTCTCTCTCTCTCAATCAGCATCGAGTAAGCCTTGTTCACAGTTAGTATGGGAACTATCATCAGGATTTGGCTACGAGCTTGCTCATATGATTCATTCAATCCCATTAGAAATTGCAGTAAATTCTTCCTCTTCATGAATTCGACATAATCAAGAGATCTAGGTCAATCACATGGATATGGAGCTAGGGCATCAAACTCATCCCACGACAAGCGTAATTTTGAAAAATAAGCAGCAACACTACTGGTTCCCTGAGTCACATTCGCAATTTGTTTGTGAAACTGGAATATTCAAGGTCTATCAATTTTGTCGAATCTCTCCTTCAAATCACTCCAAACTGCACTCTTGATGAATACACTATTCCACTGAGCAATTAACTTGAAATGCAATTTATTATCCACGACAATACAATCGCATTGCATTTCTCCCAAAGATCAGTCAGATTCATAGCAAACTTCTCCTTCTTGCATGTTCCGTCGATGAACCCTAGCTTGTTACGACCTAGGATTGCAATTCTCATTACACAACTCCACACTGAGTAGTTTTCTGATCATGTTAGTTGTAGAGAGATCAACACAGTCCCTGAGTTGTCGATAGAATTGCGAAAAAAAGGATGATTATGGCTCAATTTCTCCGGTACTTCATTGTCTATCTCTGTCACCATGTTTCTCATAAACTATGTGTGTAATCAAGCTTCAATTGAAGAATTCGTCCACATTAATGGACGCTAGGGCTCTGATACCATGTGGAAAAAAATCAATTCTCAGCTCATGGCTCATAATCTCTGTGAGTCCTAACACATGCAGATCGGAAGGGAGCTAGTTTCAGAGAGAGGAAATGAAGCAGTCAGTTATGCACTAAGTTTTGGGAATTTTCTCAATGAATATTTCAACAGTTGTACATGGCTTTATACATGTGTTTCTCAACATAACTAACCGAACTTCTTTAGCACTTCTAATTATAGTTATAGCTAACTATCTAACCTCAGTTAATAGTACTAACTACAGTTAATCTGTTAGTGCTACTAACTACAGTTACTGCACCATAGTTACTTCACCAATCCCACTCTCAATACTCCCCCTCAAGCTGGTAAGTACAAAAACATTGAGCACTCCCAGCTTGGACATCAGGTACTCGTGTTGTGGTCTTCCTAAAGACTTTGTAAGAATTTATGCCAGCTGATCCCTTGTACAGATATGAACAGTTTTATCATTCCTTGTTGAATCTTTTCTCAAATAAAGTGGCAGTCTATCTCGATATGCTTTGCTCTTTCATGATACATTGGATTTGCAGCTATCTGTAGTGCTGCCTTGCTGTCACAATATAACTCAACATGCATTTCAATTTCAGCTCCAAGTTCCTTGACCAATCCAATCACCCAAACTAATTCTGACATAGTAGAAGTCATACTTCTATACTCAGACTCTGTTGAGCTCCTTGACACAATGTTTTGTTTCTTTGATTACCAAGAAATAAGTGAATCACCATGCTTCACTATAAATCATGCGACTAACGTTTTGGTATTTGGTCATGATGCCCAGTCTGCATCAAAATATGCAGTAATTTTGTTACACTTTCTGCTACCCATCAATACTCCCATTCCAGGTTCCTTTTTAATGTACTTTACAATTCTTAATGATGCCTCCCAATGAGACCTTTTAGGTTGTTGCATGAATTGGCTAAGTGTCTGCACATCAAAAGAATTATCAAGCATGGTTAATATCAGGTACAACAGTTTACCAATTAGCCTTTGGTATTGCTCTCTATCTTCAAACCGCTCATCAGTGTTTTCACTTACAACATCATCTGATTCTTTGCTGGTGAATTTCTGATTACTGTCAAGAGGTGTGTTTACTGCTTTGGAGGCACTCAATCCCACATCTTAAATGAGTTCTAAAGAATATTTTCTCTAATTCATCAAGATTCCTTGTTTATCTCATCAAGGTCTTTTATTTTGAAGGTTTCCTGTAAATTCCTTTTTGTAGCAAGAATTAGCGCTAAGTTGTTTTCTGTCACTAACATATCGTCCACATATACTAGGATGATCACAATGTTGCTCTCGTACTTCTTTGTGAATAAGGAATAGTCCAAATTACTTTGTACAAAACCTTGCTTTATCAGTGCTTCAGTTAGCTTCACATTCCACTGCATGTTACCTTGATTGAGTCCATATAAGGATTTGACAAGCCTACAAAGTGCTCCTTTATTCTCCACCTAGCTTGCAAAACCTTCTTGGAGCTACATGTAAACCTCTTCATAGAGGTCACCTAGGAGAAAGGCATTGTAAACATCCATTTGCTGAAGATGCCAACCTTGAGCAGCTGCCATGGAAATCAGTGCTCTAACAGTTACTATTTTCACCACTGGTGAGAAGGTTTCTTAATAGTCAAGTCCTTCCTGTTGATTGTACCCTTTTGCCACTAGCCTTGCTTTAACTGTTTCTACAGCACCATTGGCTTGATACTTAACCTTGAAGACCCATTTGCAACCTATAGGAGACTTCCCTGGTGGCGGTTGAACAATCTCTCATGTTTTGTTCTCTTCAAGGGCCTAAATCTCTACCTTCATTGCTTCCACCTAGCGTGGGTCTTGTGAAACTTCTGACTAAGTTCTTGGCTCAGTGATTGATGTTAAATCTATGAGGTAGTGTTGATAGGGTGACTTCAGCTTAGCATAACTAATATAGTTCTGCATAGCATGTGGGATGTTGGGGTCCAGTATTGTTGTAGCTGTAATGTAGTCACTTATCTATGCAGGATTCCTTTTATCTCTATCCGATCTTCTCAAAGGCTCCACATATGGAACAACAGGTTGTGTAGATGAAGGCACTATGGACTCCTAAACTCATGGTTGAGGTGGTTCTCATAACTAATGTCCTATTCATTTAAAGTAGGGAGTTGATTCAGCTGGTCCTCGTGGCAAATGTCAATATTCTACACATGTGGGGTAGCAGGTTGATCTGTCACTTTCACATCCTCAAGAGGAGAAGATTCCTCATCTGATTCTGTTGCAACAGGAGTTTCTACACCAAGAAATGCATCATGATAAGAGTCATTTGGTTCAAGAAATGGATGGTATTGTGATTGCCTCCTGTTTTTGAAAGGAAAGACTGTTTCCTTGAAAATAACATCCCTATTTACAATGAACTTCTGATTAGTTAAATCAAGTAACACATAGCTTTTAGTCACTTCGGAATTCCCCATTAGAACAGATGCTATAGCTTTTGTATCAAACTTATCATGGTTGTTCAATTTCTTGGCATAGCAAAGACATCCAAATGTCCTTAAATACTGCAAGTTGGCTTTGTGTTTATTGAACATTTCATATGGACTTTTACCATTCATAGCGACTAATGACAGTCTATTAATGATGTAAAGTGCAGTCAGAACATAGTGCCCCAGTACCTCAAGGGAATTCCTCCTTAAAATCCCAAGGCTCTTGCTACTTCTAATATGTGTCTATGCTTCCTCTCAGCTATTCCATACAGCTGAGGAGTATAGACACAAGTCTTCTGATGCACAATTCCATGTAGCTGTAGGAGAACACTACACTCATTATTTAAGAATTCTCCTCCATTATATGATCTAATTACCTTGATTATCATGTTAAACTTATTTAGTATCAATTTAATGAAGTTTCTCAGCACAACCACCACATCACTTTTCAGTTTTAACAAGTACAACTAAGTCATTCTAGAGTGATCATCTACTATAGTAAGAAAGAGTTTATTGACATCAAAGGTTTGTACACTGTAAGGCCCTCATATATCAATGTGCAACAAGTTGAAAACTTCACAAGTTCTACTTGTACTGTCTGGGAAAGGCAATTTAGTGTGTCTAGCTAACGGGTACACAACACATTTTCTGTCACGACCCAAACCGAAGGGTCGCGACGGGCACCCGGTGCCTTACTCAACCGAGTACCAACGTAACATATCTTTCTTATCCTGTTATCATGAGTAAATGAGCTAGAAAACCCGTCATGAGATAACAAGAATAAAACATAAGGTAATACTCAACATATGAAGACCCAACATGATATACAAACTAATATATGTGACATATGGGCATATAAGGCCGACATGACCATTTGTAAACTCGAAACATAGGCCGACAAGGCCATACAATTATCCATACACCTGACATTTGTCTACAAGCCTTTAAGAGTATATAAAATCATAAAGGTCGGGACAGGGCCCCGCCATACCAATCAATACATATCCAAAGCATACTGACCAAATAGGCAACTCCGGAGCAAGTGGAGTGCACCAACACCTTCGCTGAGCTGATAGCCTACTAGGAGGACTGTCAACCTATCAATCGGGACCTGCGGGCATGAAATGCAGCGTCCCCAGGCAAAAGGGACGTCAGTACGAATAAAGTACCGAGTATGTTAGGCAGGAAAGCATAAACAAGAACAGTAATGTAAAGAGAGAGATAAAGGAGATACAACCTGTAACATCAGAGTGCCTCTGGGGGTTACTGATATGAAATGCATAATACATATATATACATAAACTTTTTAAAACATTCGCCTCTGTGGGCATCATCATCATATCGTACCCGGCCTCAAAGAGGACTCGGTAAAAGCGTACCCGACCATCATAAGGTTCGGTAGAATCGTACCCGGCCACGTGGAGCTCGGTAAACCCAACTGATCAGTGGTTGCACAATAGGTGCCGTACCCGGCCGACTATAGCGCGGCTCGGTAGAGTAAAATAGATACTATATATAATGCATGCTAGACTCATGGAATCATCTTCTAAACCTTTTGGAGTGACTTAAGAACATTATGGACATCCCTACCATCAATATGAACCTTAGTAGGATTTAAGGATCATACACACTTGTTTAGAATAATTTTATAAGGAAAGAACAACATGGACAACCTTAGTTGCTAGGAGTAGAGTCATTATGAAATAGCGTATCGTTTATGTTCATTTCATTTTAGACCATGCCAAAAGAAAGAAGAAAGTGCCTTAACATACCTTAAACCCGTTGAGTCCTTAATCCCTTCCAAGCAACTCTTCAAACAAGTCTACTCAATCTATCATAGTATAAAGAGATTCAAAATCAGTGCTGAGCAAAGGCTAAGTCTATAACTTAAGCTAGTAGCTCGTTTACGTAAATTTGGGCAGCATCTCCATTGTAACAAGGGCCTCCTCCAATACCATATACCAACAACAATGACCAGAGCAATCCATCAATACATAATTATCAATATCAAGACACCATATAACCACAACAAGTCACAACTACATTACGACGAGCGGCAAAATCCGATTGGAATCTGTATACCCCTTATCAATCCTTATAGACTTATTACTTCAACATAAAAGTATAATTAACATGATAATGAAGTCATTAATCAATGATTCCAGCCTTA